AGAACCTTGAAAGTTTAACGAATAGCCAGATACTAAACATATAATAACTATACATGTACGCACTAATTTTGGAAATCTAATAACTAAAAAAAAATAATTTAGTTTAATGGTAGTGGGTAATGTTTACTAATGGGTTGCTGGGTAGTCGGTAAACAAATTATTCGAGATTGAAAAACAAATAATGGTTTTCGTTTTCATTTTTTGAATAATTAAATTTTTAATAAACTATAAATATAATATTTATAAAAATAATTTTTTAAACTTTTGTTTAAAGAATGTAAAAACTATGTATTAAATTGCAAATCTTTAGATTAATAATTGAGTTTTGCATAGGCGTTTATGTCTAAATTATGTCTTAGTATTCTATAAAATTTGGTAAAGTAAATTTAAAACATGTTCAAACCTGAATATAATTTCTAACCTCCCAAATATGCTCTTATAGGAAAAATAGTATCTTTTAACAATCTCTCTGATAAATTGTCAAAATTGTTTAACCCCATAAAGCTACATAAAGCTAATAAAATAGTGTGAAACGCCTAAAAAGCCGTTTTCTTATTATAAAATACAATTGAGAGAAAATATATCAAAGATATTAGGACTTAATACTTTAGCAGAACAAATGTGATTATATATATTTATAATCACATGAAATACATTTTAGTACACCAATTTAACCCTTCAATGCGCCATGTTGATTATTTGAATTAATCTTTTTTTTTTTCTTTTTAATTAATTCATTTTTTTTATATTTAATCTTACTAGTAGGTTATATCTCCCCCCTTAGGACTGCTACCCTCGGCAAGTGGGAGGACAGACTTCGGACAGCAACAGGAGGTGAGTGGACGAGAACGCTCGTCACTGACCTCCGGAAATGGGTTGGACGGAAGCACGGGATGATGGGCTACCGCCTAACCCAGTTGCTGTCTGGGCATGGGTGCTTCAACGAATTCACCCACAGGATCGGCAAAGCACCCAGTCCAGCATGCTCACACTGTGAAGGCATGGTGGACAGTGCCTATCACACACTAGTGGAGTGTTCGGCCTGGGAGTCCCAAAGGCGGGACCTCCAGGACGTCGTCGGCGAAGTTGTCCCGGAGACACTGGTCGCCAACATGATTGCAAGTTCTGATGCGTGGAACGCGGTCGCCCGCTTTGCCGAGTCGGTCATCAAAGTTAATATCTTCGAAGACTAATGAATTTAAAAATTCACTCTCGGTGCTCAAAGTTCCAAGATTTTAGCGTTTTAGTTCGGAGGTTATATTTTATTGATCTTAATATTAATGTAACACTATCATTATATGGCATTAGGCATTTTTGGCAACTTTAATATGATTTTTATCTTTTTAACAATACTTTATTATCTGCAAAGATATTATAATCGAAAACTGAATAGATATATACATTAAACTGGAATGCCATTATTTAAGACCTTAATCTAGTCATGGTAGCCTTAAATACCGGTCTAGTGGTTTGAGCAGAATTTAATACAGCAACATTTATTTTTAAAAACTGCATGTTTTCAATAAAGAAGTCACATTTGGAAATCATTTTCTTCGCTTGTTTTTTTTTGCAATAAATAACTTGAGGCGGAGAACCCCCATTTATGTCCAATACACATGTTATGGCCCTTATTTTTATTTTTATAGTTTTGTTCAGTTGAATATTATCATTAAAAGTCAACACTAACTATAAAAAAAAATGTTCTGTAACTTCTATTACTGTGATCTCCACTCTAGCTCTTGGTTTGATACAAAATCAATCATGAAATTTCTACTCAATAGTTGATACAGAAATAGAGGATTTTATTAAATATTTATTAAGATATTTTCATTAAAAATCATGTATTATATTATGTAGTATGACAATTAAATCGATAATTATTATATCATAATGTAAAATATTGGCTATACTGTAACGAACTTTGCTCTCCGAGCACATGCGTGATTGACCTTCTGTAGTACTTGAGCTCGTGAGATCTATTATTTTTAGATAATCTAACCAAAAAGCCCTTTTTTATGAATTAAGAGGGATTAATTGTTTAATCGTCCGACTAGATGTTGGTTGCCAGTGGATACAAACTAATAAGGCAAGTAAGCCTATCTTTTATAGTTATTATTATATAGAATTTCTGTAACAGAGTCCGCCGCCCACAATCGATTGTTAAGTAATGGCTATCAGTCTCTTACAACTTACATAAATAGTGTTCATTGAATTAAAAACAATGTTTACGATTTATTTTCGACTAAAATAAGTGTCGGCTAAAATACGGATCGGCTAAAATATTTTTGGCCGATTTATTTTCGACTTAAATATTTGTCGGCCACAATACTGGTCTGTTATTTGTAGTTCGGTGGAAATACAGTTCTGTTAGTTTGTGTTTCTGGTAATTTATTTTTTGGCAAAAATACGGTTCTGCCGATTTGTTTTCGGTTTTTTATGCGACTCGCTTATAACTACGTTGTATTTATACAGAAGGTACGATCATTGTTATTGCACCAACACTTGATTTTGTTCATTTCAGTAACGTACACGAATCCAACAATTTGTCATATCATAACAGGTAATATGAGTAGTTAAGCTATAAAAAAATAATAGTTTTTACAATCATCACAGTAGACATACCATATATTATCTCAAATCAAAATTTTGCAATCAGATTCTACAAAATCTCCAAGTTCTTTTAACACAAAAAATGTCTGATCCAAAAATGAAAAAACTATGCATTTATAAATACAATATGTTTATGCCGGTCTGGGTGGAACTAACAAATTAATTTAATATAGTTACTCGCATACAAATTTATAAAAAAAAACCATTTTACAATTTATTCGAATGAAAAATAATTTAAATAACTATTTTTAAAACTAATCGAATAAAATAAAATATTTCTATATAATATACTGGTTTTATATATTTCCTAAGTGTAGAATATATTAGAATTCTATGTAATAATATTTCCAAACATTATTTCTTGAAAAAAGCACTTACAAACTATTTATATAATATTTTTTTAAATAATTATTCATATTATTTTTTTATTCGAATGAAAAAATTGGATATATATCGAATAAATCTTTCTAAATTTAATCGAATAATTATTTTTAATTAAAAAATTATGTTTCTATATTTGAGGCGCTCAGATGCTAAACCGATTAACTCCACTTTTTTAAAAGTTCGAATAATAGTATGGTTGGATTAAAAATTAGTAGGGGTACGCTAAAATGTCTTAAAAACGGTTTATAAATTGAATGGTTAGCAAGGTATATTCAAGGTTTTCACATAGGTATTACATGTTATATTTTAACAGCTTGCGTACAAGTACACAACACCACGGCATACATTTTTATGTATCTAAGGTGGCTAGTAAATATATCAAGTTTCTGGCTAATATTTTAGTGTTTTTATAATATCTGGCCAAAAACAATTCATAGAGAATTTGGCCCCTTAAATTATTAAATTTATTATTCATTTCTATTTTAAACGTCGTGAATACAACATATATGCCCCCAGCCCCGTTTCCACCCCAAATCTTACTCCTAAAGCTCACCCCCTATCTCACACCCTTATCTCTCAACCCTATCTCTTACCCCTATCCCTCATCCCTATTCTCACCCCCATTCCCACCCCAACCCTCATCTCTTACCCCCTATCTCTCAACCCCCCTTCTCACCCCAACCCTAATCTCTTACCCCTAATCAGCTGTTATTTTTCGTTATGATAACCAGTGTCGTTATGATAACCGGTGTCGGTGTCGTTTTTCCGTGTGTGTGCCATAGCAAAGACATAAAAATGTCAAAAGTAAAAAATAATTTTACTACAAGAACAATATACCAATCAACTAGCGCATTTTTTTTAAAATGTCAATTACTTTGAAAACAACCGAAAACTAACTACAATTTTAAATAATGATAAACATCTTAAATTTTTTACTAAAAAGGAAAAGCGTGGGCCATATTCAAGTTAATGGCAGAAGAATAGGCGGAGTGTAGTATTATTTTTATCTACGTCCAATCACTTTGCCTTCTAACTTTTAAACTCTACAATTAAATTTAATATTATTCGATTATTTTTTTTATATATTTATTCGAATAATTATTTCAAAAGTTAGTCGAATGAAATATATTAATCTATATTTTTAAAAACTATTCGAATAAAAAATAATTTGATTAACTTCTACTCGAATAATTTGGTATCTAAATATTAGACTTATGTAATGTCTTATTCGTATGATAAACTACTCTAAATTTGTACTCCGTGTTGGATTAATTTGGGCTACTTACATTGCAATGGAATTTAGAAAATATTAGAATAATAGAATTTATGAAGTCCTTTAATAAAAAATAGAAATTATTTGCTGTTTTCATATCAATGACGTGGGCAAATTACTTAACTCCTCTTTTACAAAAGACCTACCTAAAGTGTGAAAAATTTATATATACAATAATTTTGTATAAGGACAAATTTAGGATGGACATTTTTTAAGAACATTATCCGGAATCAAACACTACATTTTTTTTTCTATATTCTGTTCCTTGAGTGGGATGATAATATATTAATATTTTTTGAATGATTATCCATGTTAGGGTGGTTGACAGGTTTCCTTAATAAGGTTTTGGTAGATAGATGAAAAAATGCCGGAATTGTGGAGGAAAAGTATTCTGGTACCAATATTTAAGGGCAAGGAAGATGTGCAGGAGTGTGAAAATTATAGAGGTATAAAACTGATTAGTCATAATATGAAGGTTCGGTAATAGATTGTAGAAAAGAAAATATCGAAGAATCAATTTGGGTTTATGCCAGGAAAATCAACTATGGAAGGACTAGGGTGGCCGACCCCATGTAATTGGGAGTGTAAGGCAAAGATAAAGAAGAAGAAGATATGGATTATCCATGTTATAGTTCTAGAATATTCCAAAAAGTATCATAACTGTGATTTTGCGCAAACACATATTTCATGTGTATTACTATTGAATTTGACATTATATTGTTTTTTTTTTTTTAGATATCGATTGAAAATGACTAAGCTACAAGTTTTCTGTTTTTTTGCTGTTACTATTTGCATTGTTATAAACAATGTAAAATGCGCAACGAAAGACGGTATGACCTAAATATTTGAATCATTTTTTTATTAAATTTGTTTAGTATCGTTGCGGAACTGAAATTGATAAGACTTATATTTATCTCTAACTATATCAATTTTGATTAAACGCTTCGATAAAAAATGTTGGCACACTAGACCACACTTTAACACTATCTAGATGTGCTTAGTTTGGACTGCACTATCATAAACTTACTACCCACAGATTCGCACCAAAGCATTTATTTGAGAGGATTTTTATCACTTTCAGCTATAATAACTACTGTAGAACTGTGACCTAGCTGACAATTTGATATTTTACGAATTTATGGTAATATAATTTATTATTCCAGAATGCCGTGATCAGATATGTAACACCAGTGAGTTAAAATTACTATTTTTTTTTTTAAAGTCATTTAGGCAATTTGTAACGTTATTTCATAATATGCAATTGAAAAACTATTCATTTGTGTCGTTATACCTATTGTGTTAATTTTTGTAGAACTATTTTTGTTACAAATTCATTGAATAATTTAACGCTTTGTCCTGATCACAAAACAAATTAAATTGCCTGTAAATAACTGCCTATTTATATTTTTTTACTAAAATTTAATTTGAACTGACATGTATATATAATAAAAATACTCTTTACTTCCTTACTTAAACTATTTTAGCAAAGTCAAACATTTTTAAAGTAAACGTGACTTAAAAATTTAACTTTAGTCAAGGGGGCTCCATACAGACCATTTTTAAGGAGTTTTGTATAGGCAATATTTAGGAAAAAATTGGCTTAAATAAATTACCGGTTAATTTGTATAATACCTTGAAGTATTATTTTTAAATTAAATCATTTTGTCTATGAGTAAAAGTCATTTTAGTCAATATACGATACATTTTTTGTTCCATCGCACAGGTTCAACCACTAATCTGATAGTTAATATGAAAACAGATTTGGATTCGTCGTGAAATTTACTTGAGATCGGTCGACATACATTTTTAATATCTTATTCCTACTACTTTTAAAAACAAATAAATAAATATATATATTGCAAATAAATTTATAATTATAGTTATTTATTGCATTAGTAATAAAAGTTAAAGAGAAGGGTGGGTAGAGGGAATAAGAGCCTAGCAAGTTACTGACTAATTATGCCAAACCTGCATAGGGAAGGGACTGCGTTCCAAACGCGTGTCCCGCGACACGAACCAGTTTTTTTTTGTGTATCTAGCCTCTTATGATTGCTTTGACTACATTGTATATTGTATTTGTTAATTATGTAAAATTTGTTTTTAGACCACAGACTAAGACATTTAAATGACGGTAAGTGTTTGTATAGTTAATAATATAGTATATTATAATTAAGAGGAAAAAATAATTTTGCAGGAAATATGAAATTTGGCAAAAAAAAACAAAAAATAGGCATAACTTAAACTATAAAAGGCGCCATACTTTTAATGTAATCAGGCAGAATTCTATCTTACCATGTTTAGATTTTCCTGTTATTTTACCCAATTTCCTGCATTTATATTGTCAATAATTGAAAATAGTACTATCTAATCCATAATGATCACATCATAATAGTTATATTTATGTTTCTTAAATTAGTACAATATGTATTCATTAATAATTTGTTTTTGTTCTTTGATTCCAGATCAAAAATACCAACTGGTCAACGGTGTCATTCGTGCATACTCATATGGTATTGTTATGTGTAAATTATTATTTTTGTTTTATGTACACTCGTTTTAATAATATTAGGCTATTAATTTGTCATTGCACACCGAATAGTTTTATTGTACTATCAATACCGCTGGCCATGTTGTACATTTAATCAGTACATTTAATCGTTCAATTCAAAATGATGTCTAAGAAACCGTTACATTTTTATTGATTCATTAAACGTTCACGCAACTGGCATGCACTACTTTTTTTTTTAACAAACAAATTTTTTGTGTTTTTTTTTTCAGAGAATATTCAGGCTTTGATTTTTCCGCCAGGTAATTAACAATTGTTTTTTACGATTAGGTGATATCATAAACTTACAAAGAAATTAACTGGGCCTACCACACTGCACCTCCTACTTTAAATTTCGTGTTTATTTTATAGTGCAAATGAGTATAAATTAATTTTAAAAAAAATCTTAAAACTATTCACTAGAACAAGAGTTCTCTCATTTTTCTAATCTTTGTGAGACACCCTGTATTAGACAGTATTCTTTAAAATGTTGTTAGTAATAACATATATATATATGTATATATATGTATCTATGTATATATGTAATTTGATTGTAAGTTATTACTATTAGGTATGTTGGAATGAAAATCCCTCACAAATCTGCATACAAGATTGAAAAAATTAATTAGTTTTCGTGATATCAATACCTTTTCAGTTTCTCTCTCAAGCTATACCTAATATGTATACATGTATATAAACAAAATCACAATGTTTAATAATAATACAAATTATATTACTATTAGTAATATATAATATGATCGATGCTAAATTGTATAAGATGATACGACTTGCCGATGCATGATATTCTCTTTATCTGATCTTATTTTTACTTAAATTATGCATCGAATATCAAGTGTTATCGTGTATGTTTTCTAGTTCTAACGTGTATTTGACTTTTATTACATTTCATTAACACTACACATTTATAACTAACAAACTATTTAGAGGATATCCGTAATTCTACATGTTAATATACTAAAGATGTACTTTTAAATTGTTTTTTTTTTTTTTAATTTACCGGTTTTATTGTTAATCAATTAATATTACAAGCTGGTAAATTTATATCAAAACAAAATTTGCTTAAACACAAAATGTACATAAAAGTTTCATTTTTTAATTAAATTTTTGATTATAGTGGCTTTTGTCGATTACTTAAATATATGTGGCACCTTTTAACAGTAGCATTATAAAATCGAATCTCTTTTTTAGCTACTGCGTCATTGGCACACCAGGACAGGGCAACAGGTAAAAAATTATCGTCCGCATAACTTATAATTAATAGTAACTATGTTTATTAATGACGTTTTTTTGTGATATTTTATGTTAGGCAGTGTAATTTTACATAAAATGACACATTTTAATGGGGATTTAATGTTTTGATTATAGCTTTTGATTCAATAATAACCCAAGAACGGACTATACTATACTTTATTACAGGACAAGAGCCAACAACTGATTTAAGTAGTATGTATAACAGTTTTCTCCAGAACAGTTATTTAGGTAGTATTTGAGTGAATATTACAGTTGTACAATGTGCTTAAATAAGACTATATTAATAATGGTCAATTGAAAAAGTTGAAAATTCTTATTTATAATTTACATAGTATAACTTTAACATTAAAAATAAAATTAAATACATCATCTGTATGATATTATAGACCTAGTTGACTATGACAGGGCAGTATACAACAGACATCAGCTGATACGTACTATATTCAACTATGTTCTACATCAAAGAATGAGTAAGCATTTTTATATTATTTATCGCTGCTTTTAAAACGTCGTTAAAACCTAAGTTTGGCCTATAACTAACCTATCTATGCGTTTGTTGGTATCTAGTATGGGTAAACAATAAAAACAAAATGCTTTTAAATGAGTAGAACAATGACTGTAGTCTAAAGTCCAGCAATAGCAACCACATGATTCAAGCAAAAGCTAATGTATTTATTTTTTAACACTTAGGTAGATCCGGAATAACTATTTTATATGTATTTTATTATTTCTTGTCATAAATTTGTAGTATTTATCGATTGTATTTCTATTCAATAATTATGTCGTATGGTTTCAGATCACTTCCAAATGTGCGTGAATGACGAAGAAAAAAAATGCAAATTGCTCGGAATAATAACGCGTGCATTAAATCCTGGGTTTGGATTTAGACAAAGATGTAATGAAATATTAAGATGCGTTATAGTATTGGAAGGGAAGATTACGGCAGACGGCGTTGTACCAACCAACAAGACACGAGTGGAGTATTATGTAGATCGGCGACTTCCGTCAGGATTGTATAACACAGAACTTAGGAGAGTTATAGATTAAAATTTAAATGTTTCGATGTCAATATATAAGTATATTCAATAATAAACCATTATTATAACCAATACTGTCGTCGTTTAGCTGTTATTATTTCATACATTAGGAAAAACACCAGCACCGCAACAGTTGGATCAAAGGAGGATTTAGAAATCAATATAAATAAGATGTTAGACAATAATAGTGATATTTTAACCCTTAACTGGTATAACACCTCTTACTGCCTCTGCCTCTGCCTTATCCCTTCTCATAACATGACTGAACAATCTCAACCTATTGTCTTTCATTTTCCCCACAAGTGGTTCATCTCCTTGACTCCCCTTATGTATTCATTTCATATTCTATCCAACCTAGTCACTCCACTCGTCCACCTTAGCATTCTCATCTCCGCTACACTCGTTCTATATTCAGTTTTCTTATCTACGGCTCAATATTCCGACCTATATAAAGCAATGGTTGGTGTACTAAGCTCAGGGTTGTTTATATTATATTATATTTATTACTATTAAGTACCTATGTCATTTGGGACTTTACGTTTTTATGCTTATCTATGTATTTCCTAATACGCATTAACTTTCTATGAACACAAGTTATCATAGTGCTGAACCTATTTTTCTGTTGTTTGTTACATTTACTTAATTTGCATATTAGTATATAAGCTAGGCTTTTACTATGTATAATTGTCAGTCGGTCAGTTTGTGTTTATCTATAATACAGTTCGTTATTACGGTCAACCATTGTCTATTTAAGTGCTTATTTTATTATTATTAAACAGATTAACTTATCCTTATAAAGTGTTTATTATTTCTGAGTATATTTTCATCCTTATAACAAAAATGGTAGATGAATTAAGAAACAAAAAATACTTTGTATAAAACAACAGTTCTATTTCATGCGATTATAAAAGCGTGCGCCATTGTGTGAGCTATACTTCAAACATAATACTATCAAATTATCCTAGAAAACGTTATATCTTAAACTTGAGAATTCCTTTGTTAGTTAGTTAAACATTTTTGTTTATTTTGCAATAATGTGTTTCTTTTTGTATTTTTTATTATATATGAATTATACATACAATTTTTAATAAATGTTGTTTACATATTAAATCCGAATCATTTGAGCTAATGTTTTTGTAGGAGTCGGAGAGTAATATTAAAACAAAAAAATTTCTAGTGTAAAGAATAAATTTCATCGAAATTCCAGGTTAAAATGTTAATTTGGTCTAAGACGTTTTACGTTACATATTAGCCGACGAAAGGATATGTTTTATAACAAAAAATGAGGTTTTCATAATCAAATATTTTATCTTATCACTATTAAATTTTATATTTAATTTTTTTGCCCTTTCTAATACCTGTACTACTACTCCATCATGCAGTTTTTCATCCTGTGTTGCTATAAATAAGCAAATCATTAAAGTAGATGTACACATTTTTAATGTCACCAAAATACCCTTTGTTTTTTTTTTTAAATTCCTCAGGTGCACACGACAACCCAAAGGGTATTTTTGTAAACCTGTAATAACCAAATGGTGTACTAAAGGTGCACAAGTAACTCGACTATTCATCTAATTTGATTTGCTAAAATCCAGTCTTCAAATCAAACAACGTAAACCATTTCTTATTGTATAAATTCGTTCTTAACTCTTCAAGAGTGGGGATTAAAACTTGACCTCTTATTACTACTTTATTCAATTCAGTGGGATCTAAGCACACACGCAAATATTTATTTGGTTTTTCAACAATAACTATATTACTCGACCATCCATGGGTCCTTTCCACTTCAAATATCACGCCCATATGACACATTTGATACGAAGTACTTTTTAATTCACTCTTAATGGATTCTGGGACACGCCTAGTAGGATTTAACCTCGGTTCACTGTTTTCCTTAATTCTTATCCTTTATTCTCCCGGAAAACAACCCAGTCCATTAAACACATCTTTATATTCATTTACAAGTACATTCAAACAATTATTGGATTCAACGCTTTCTATCTTAGACCTATTAATAAAACCAAACTTAGTACATGTAATTAATCCTAGAATAGGTACACATTTACTTTGACTATCATCTACAATAATGAACCTGATATTAATAGATTTTTTTATCTATAGCTTCACATAAAAGTTCAACTGTCCCCATACTTTTTATATCAAATCCACCATAGGCTTTAATCATAATATAAGTATTACTCAATATTTTCCCAAAATTAATTTCTTTAAAAATACTATAAGGTATTATATCAATATCTGAACCCATGTCTATTTTAAAATTAATGAGAAAATTACTATTAATTTTAATGATTTCAGTCCACTTTATTTGTTCAGTTTTACACTAACATTTCCTTCTTCAATAGACAATATATCAAACAATTTATACTTAGGTTCATTGTAACTTATATAGTTATTATGCATACCCTCACCAATGTTATTGACCTCCTTTCGTTGTTGTTCAGTGTCCTTATTAGCTTGGCATCCCACCAAAAAATAATTTAATTTTCCACACTTAACACACGCCTTTCCAAAGGCAAAGCGTTTCCTTTTTCCATGTCGTCTTCCACAATTCTTGCAATCATAATCCGTAATCATAGACCCATTATTGTTCTTATTGCGTCTTAACTTGTCTTGCTGTCCACTGGTTTTAAAAGTTGACTTACTTTGCATTTTAGTCATATGTACGGCAACTGTCTCAAACTCTTCTTGTTTTCTTTGGAAAAACTTGAGCTGCTCTATTATGACATTAAATTTAGGTTCATAATATCCCTGTAGTACTTTAAATATTGTGGCTACAGTTGCTGTTGAGTTAGTTGCACTCAACGTTTCCAATAATTCAAAGGCATCATCGCCTATTACACTCAACAATACTGCAACCTTAAGGTTTTCAGTTTTTTCATCCAACTCATTGGCTCTGAGGTACAGGTCAAACTTATTTTTAAATAACTTAATATTATTAATTACTGTTCCCACATCATTAATGTCCAATGGTACAATTGATCCTCCTGCATTCGACTGAGCCATGTTGTATTTATGATTTTTATTAAGCAAAAGTAATTATTACAACATACTTAATTAATAATTAGAAAAAAGTTTAAAGCAGCCAACGGGTACATGTGTTAACTGATACAGAGGAAAATGAGGATGTATTGAACAAAATAACATTGTAGGTTATATTACAGCGTTACCCATTATACAACAATGGTTATATATAACAAAGAAATTATTTTTTATTATATAAAATAAAACCTAACACATTATCGTTTTAATTTTTTTTCGATATTTATTAGGTATATAATGAATGTCCAGTAAAAAAAAAGACTGGTCGATGTAAGTTTGGAACAAATATTTATGGATAATTTGAGAAATAGACTGAAGGACAACTTAAACAACTATCATTAATTTTAGACACTCAAAATAATAATAACAAATAAGGTCAGTACAGTGGGGTCAGGGAATAATGGAGACGGAGCATGATGAGGTCAGGGCATAGTGGGGACGGGGAGGTTACAGTTTTAGAGGTATTTTTAAATCTGTAAGTGATAAAATCACCTTTGAATAAACAGTAGTTGGTATTTTCAAACGAGTCAAGTCCATACCACAGTATAAACCATCATAGCAATAAAGAATTTAATTGAAAGTGATTGTATCCGAAAGGGCTAGTACAGTAGAGTATAGGCATAATGGAATCCAAGCATAGAGAGGTAGGAGAGGTTACAGTTCTACAGGAATTATTTTAAATAAAAGTGATAAAATTGAATAAAACCACATTCAAACAAACGCATTGATGCTTATTTGTAAATACAGCACCTCAATTTTTATACTTAAAAAATTACTGAAATAACTAACTAAACGTTTTAAAATATTCATATATTCATCTCCTTGTATATAATGTACAACACCGCTGTGTTGGATTTTTTATTGTTACATTATTTTTCTGTACTCAAGTTTTTTAGATGTTCAAAAACCACATAACTCTATTATCTAGGTTGTATTTATACAAATGGTACGATCGTTGTCTATGCCCCAACAGTTGGTTTTGTTCATTTCGAAAACGTACACGAATCCAACAACTCGTCAAATCACATCAGGTAATATAAGTAGTTAAGTTACAAAAAAAAATAGTTTTTAGAATCCTCACAGTAGACATACCTAATATTCACTCAAATCAAAATTTTGCAATAAATTTTCCAAAATCTCAAAGTTTTTTTAACACAAAATATGTTTGATCTGAATATAAATTTAAAAAACTAAGCATTTATAAATACAATATGTTTATGCCGGTCTGATGACATGTCGATAACCAGTTTTGGATAATTATTTTTAAAGTTATTGAAGTTTCAAGTTGAGGGCAGAAGAAAAGGCTGAGTGTAGCATTATTTTTATCTACGTGCACTTCCCTAGCCTCCTAACTTTTAAACTCTAAAATTAAATTTAATATTATTCGATTATTTTTTTTATATATATTGGAATAATTATTTTAAAAGTTAGTAGAATGAAATATATTAATCTATATTTTTAAAAACTATCCAAATAAAAAAAGAGTTTGAATAACTTTTAATCGAATAATTTGGTATCTAAATGTTAAACTTATGTAATGTCATATTCAAATGATGCAAAACTCTGAATTTTTACTCCGTGTTAGATTAATTTTAGCTACTTAAATGGCAATCGAATTTAGAAAATAATAGAATTTATGAAATTAGAAATTATTTGCTGTTTTCATCCCAATGACGCGACGAGGGCAAACTATTTAACTCCTACTTTACAAAAGACCTACTTAAAGTGTGAGAAATCGAAATATACAATAATTTCGGATAAGGACAAATTTAGGATGGTCATTTTTTAAGAACATTATCCGGAAAAACACACACTACATTTTTTTTCTATATTCTGTTTCTTGAGTGGGATGATAATATATTGTTTTAGCTTCGATGCAAAGCGAGAAGGTATTGGTTTTACTCTGATGTGGGCTTTTATTTTCGCTGTATACACTGTAACTTTTTTAATACTAGACCAATTCCTTCGAATAGCAACTCTGTAAATCACAAATTTTATCTAGTTTGTACTTAGAAGGAGGTAAAAGTTGAAAGAGTTTAATTTTTCACAGACGAAATTTGAAAAAACAAAAAAAAAACCGTACGAGTTTTTAAGTTAGAACTTTTACTGGCTATAATTTCGAGAAAAAGAGTCGGATCGAGTTGAAATGTATAAGAAATAATTATTTGGTATGCCCGCACACGTCAGTTGTGTCAAATTTAAACTATACCCGTTTCCCACCCCCTAGGGGGGGTACAAGTTTTTTTTGTTTTTCGGGGTTTTTCACCGTAATTTTATAACTTTTGGGTTGAAAATTTGCTAGTAGTTGGAACTTATATGTATCCATAACATATTAAACGGGAAAAAAATTCGGCATTACAGTTTTTTTTTAATTGCCGGGAAACTGTGTTTTCGCAGATTTCGTATATTTTAACAAAAACACCTAAAATCTTTAAAAAAAATTGATCAAATCATTAAAACAATTTTATGTATATCTATGCAGAATGATACTATTAAGTTTTTTGCTCAAGTACCGCTTTTGACATTAAGTTTACACAAATTCAATTTTTTTTTTTTACTTAAGTTCTTTCTGGATGATTAAAATTGAAAACTGATATTAAATTATAGCCTGCGTTATATAACCTTACCGAAGGTCAACTAAGAGTATATAAGGTCCAACTACTTGCAAATTATGACGAGGACTGTTTTTTTGGGATTCAGATTAAGTGTTGGTTTTTTATGCAGTATACCGCCTCAAAATGTATTTTTTATTACACAATTTTTTTAAAGGAAAACTAATGTTTTGCATTTTGTTATACTGTTATTCATTTAAAGAGATTCACGCTTGATTGTTTAAATTGTCTAATATTAGATAATCTGCTTCGTGCTAATTTTAATTTTTTAGCTTATAACTTGTAGCTCTAATTTTGTATAAAATATTTCATTATTTTATTACTATGTACAAATTAAGATAAATTTTATTAATAATTAAGTCATAAATGATAATACTTTATTTTATGACTAGATCAAATTTCGTGAACATTTAACATCATGATACTGCTCCTATGCTTTTATTAAAATAACACAATTTTTAAAATCTCCATAAAAGGTTATTGTTAAATAACAGGCAACAGCCGACCGCTATTGGCTATACACGTTAGTAATATTTAACTAATAAGTAATATATGTAGGTAATAGTGATTTTATCCGAGAGGACTAGTACAGTAGAGTATTGGTATAATGTAATCAAAGCAATGAGGAAACGGAGAGGTCACAGGTCTACAAGAATTATTATAAATAAAAGTGATAGAATTGAATAAAATCGCTTTCAAATAAACGCTTTGATGCTCATTTGTAAATACAGAACCTTCATTTAAAACTTTTTAACTTTGCTGGTTTATACTGTGCTTGGTTTGGACTGTACTGACTTGAAAATACTAACTACCGATTTGCATCGAAGCGTTTTTTCGAAAGTGATTTTAACACTTTCAGATTTAAAAATTCCTGTAAACCTGTGACATCCCGTCACCACTATGCCCCGACCCAACTATGCTCCGTCCCCACTATGCCCCGACCCCACTGTACTGGTTTTTTTTATATGATTAACCATGTAAGGGTGGTTGACAGGTTTCCTAAATAAGGTTTTGGTATATAGATGGAAAAATGCCGGAATTGTGGAGGAAACTATTCTTGAAGCAATATCTAAGGGCAATGAAGATGTGCAGGAGTGTGACAATTATAAAGGTGTAAAACTGATTAGGTATGAAGGTTTGGGAAAAGATGGTAGAAAAGAGAATATCAAAGATATTCAATTTGGGGTTTTGCCAGGAAAATCAACTATGGAATGATTAGGGTGGCCGACCCCATGTAGTTGAGAATGTAAGGCAAAAAGATAAAGAAGATATGGACTATCCATTTTATAGTTCTTGAATATTGCAAAAAGTACCTTTACTGTAATTTTGTGCAAACACATATGTTATGTATTACTATTGAATTTGACATAATATTATTTTTTTTTAGATATCGATTGAAAATGACTAAGTTACAAGTTTTCTGTATTTTTGCGGTTACTATTTGCATTGTTATAAACAATATAAAATGCGCATCGCCAGACGGTATGACCTAAATATTTGAATCATTTTTTATTTTAAGACTCATATTTATCTATTAAACTATGTACAGATTTGTTTTAATATTTTGTACATTTTAACATACACATGATATACATTTTGAAAAATAATTATCAAGTTGTACTAATATTTTTATTGACAACTATTTGGATTGATCTTATTAGGTTTTTGTACGATTTTTAGTCTTAAAATTTTATTGTTGTATACAATTATAAACTGGTACTTAATTAAAACTTATAACACATATAGTTTTAACCAACTTTTACCCCAAAATCCAGCTGGCTTAATTATTCAAAGTGATATCAATTTCAATTAAACTCTTCGATGCAAATTTTGACACACTAGACCTCACTTTAACACTTACTAAATGTGCTTAGTTTGGACTGCACTGGATTAAACTTCCTACCCACAGATTCGCACCAAAGCTTTTATTTAAGAAGATTTTTATCACTTTCAGCTATAATAATTACTGTAGAACTGTGACCTCGATGACAATTTATATTTTACGAAATTATATGATAATATAATTTATTATTCCAGAATGTTGTGATCAGATTTGTAAGACCAGTGAGTTAAAATTATTATAATTTTTTTTGACATTTTTATGTCTTAGCTCTGGCACATAACCGAAAAAAGTGTTATCAAAAAAGAGTTACCAAAAAAGCGTAACGAAAAAAGGAATGGGGATGGGATGTGGATGAATATGGGGTTCGGAGTGGAAGATAGGGGTAGGAGATAAGGGTGGGAGATAGGGGCGATAGTTTGGGGTAAGAGATATGTTGTATTCACAACGATCAAATTAAAACTGAAAAATAAATTCAATGTTATTTAACAGGTCATATTTCCTATGAATTGTCAGATATCAGCCAAAGGCCAGATATTATGAAATCACTAAACTATGAGCCAGAAACTTGATATATTTACTAGCCACCTTAGATACTAGCTTGTTATTATACTATTTCATTATTTATAATTCCACCACTACTCTAAATATATTCGGTACTTCAACGAGACATGAAAATGCTCTTTCGTGGTTGCCGACTCGGCTGAAAAACTTTTTTTTTAAGTCATTTAGGCAATTTGTAACATTATTTCATAATATGTCATTGAAAATGTATTAATTTGTATACGTTATATTGTGTTAATTTTTATTACAAATTCATTAAATAATTTAACGCTTTGCCCTAATCACAAAACAAATAAAATTGCCTATTTATGTTTTATTACTAACATTTAATCTGAACTGACATGTGCTACTTTAATGTGTTTGTGACCTTCAAAACGAGAAGATGTTTATATACGTTTTCCAAACAATATTTTTTTATATTGTAACGATCATATTTCACCTGACCGTTACTCCTCTAGCCAGCTAGACAAGTAGGTCCGTTACAATATATAATAAATTATGCTTTACTTCCTCTTTTAAACTATTATAGCTATTATAGCTAACTATTAAGTCAAAAATATATAAGTAAACGTGACTCAAAAATTTAACTTTAGTTAATAAAAAAAACACTTTTAACCAATTGAGTAACCTCGAATACATAACCTACACATTTTTTATTTTTGTATTTAATAGTGTACATTTTTAGCAGTAATAGTTTTAGCCAACATTCGGCTAGTGGTTTAATAAAATTATAGACAAAATCAGTGTAGAGTGTTGCAAGCTAATGATAGTACAAGCAACCATTACATAGTTTTGTTAAACAACCTTTTTTTTATTTGTGTATCTGGCCTCTTATGATTGCTTTGACTACATTGTGTATTGTATTTGTTAATTATTTAAAATTTGTTTTTAGACCACATACTTGGATATTTAAATGACGGTGAGTGTTTATATAGTTAATACAATAGTATATTATAATTAAGGGAAAAAAAAAATAATTTTACCGAAAATATGATTTGGCAAAAATAAAAAATAA